AGCTGCTACAAAGAAGACATGTTTTAGATAATACTCATGCGTATGGGCAAAAAACTCGAGGACTGTATTTGTGACTAATTGTATGACAGGTTATTTTAGTTTCTGTTCTGTGGAAAGTGTAAAGCATTCCAACAAAGGGTTTTAATGTCGACCTTTTTTTGCACCCATGCTGTTGATTGCTAAATGTAATAGTCTGATCATGACACTGAATAAATGTCTTTTTTTAAAAAAAAAAAAAAGAAAAAATTTAGTGTTTTCTTTTGAGGAAACAGTGATAAACCTCCAAGTCAAAGACTAGAAGAGGATATGGAGAGTCCCAGCACTGGGGAGGCTGAGGCAGGAGAATTGTCAGGAGCTTAAGGCAGCCTGGGTTTCATAGTTCAAAACCAGCCTGAACTACACAGTGAGATCCTGTCTGAAAACAGTATGAGTGGAGAACGACTAATCTGAGCTAAGAACGTTGGAGTAATTCTGAGTTTTCATGGAGAATTGGCGCAAATGTGAATTGTGCGTGCTGCAGGTGGTCACATGCACAGAAGTCGGACTGCAGCAGCTAAGCCCAGCAAGGGTCTTGTTTTTCTGCTGTGAAACGCAGCTCAGAGAGGTAATCCACGCCAGGGTGGTGCAGCAGCTTTCAGGACTCGGTTCCTTTCGCTTTCTGCTCTGCTCGTTTTGTACAGCGTGAGGTTTTATAGTCACAGAACAACTGCTCTACCCCTAGCTATCTCTTCTCTTCAGATAGCAGGAAGGGTTAAAAGGTGAAAGCACCCTGACCCCTCGTAGAATTAGGTAAACAATTTTCTTGGAAGCCCAAACCAGTAGATGTTTGACACTGTCTCACTGGCCAGAAATGGATCACGTAGCCCACCTTAATGCAAGGGAGCCTGGGAGGTGGAAAGTTGAGCCTAGTGCCCTCCTTATTTCTAAAAGGTGGAGTCTGCCTCATAAGAGAGCTGAGGGGAGAACAGATACTGGTAGGAAACCATAATGTCTATTGTGTTTCTATTACATGCCTGAATTAAATTGCACATGTGCTCTAAGGGATTGGGAAATGACGTCACCCAGGAGCGTTGCCATTCCCAATGGGCATGCGCTGGGCTTGCGTGGCACTTGGTTCCCCCTCTGACTCTGCCCCTCCACTGACAGCAGGTCTCACCTACCTTTTTGTTGATGGTATCTCATTGGGATGCTCATCTGCTTATTAACAGCATTCAATTAAAAACCTAATATTTAATATATTAGTACACATTGCAGAACATAATGACCACAATTCATTAGGCAATTTGTACATAACACACCTTAGTTCTTTTTTTTTTGTCCTCCCCTCCCTCCTAACTTTCCTACTCTCCTCATTTACAAAAGTCTATTTTTATTTTCCTTTCATTGTTTAAAAAATTCTATTTTCCTTCTTCCCTCCCCTCTCTCCCATCTCTTGTTCACCTTCCCATTTAAAACTTTTTGTTTCCTAGTATCTCTATTTTGCTCCTTATTTATACTTTGGGTTTCTTACATGACAGAGACAATATGATATCTGAACTTGTGCACTTGATTTATTTCATTTAAAATTACAGTCTCAAGGTGCATCTATTTACCTAAAAATGGCTTGTTTATTCTTCTTTATGGCAGAGTAGTACTCCACTGTATACACATATAAACATATTCCATATGTTCTTCTCCTTTCATCTACTAATGAGCACATGGGGCTATTTCCAAGATTGAGCTATTGTGAATTGCACTGTTATAAACATGGGTATGTGTGTATCATTGTGTTATATTGAATTTATCTCCTTTGGGAAGATATCTAGAAGGGGAATAGCTGGATATAAAGGAATCTCTAGTTTCAGTTTTTTGAGGAATTTCCATACAATTTCTGTGGTAGTTGCACCATCTTACACTCACACCAGCAATAGAGAGAAGAGTTCTTTTTTCCTTTGTAGCCTCACCGGCACTTGTTATTGGTTGATTTCTTGATGAACCATTCTTTCTAGAGTGAGATGGCACTTCAGTATTAATTTAACTTGTATTTCTTGAATGGCCAGCAATGTTGAGTATTTTTCATGTGTTTATTGGCTGCTTATACTTCTTCATCCAAGAAGTATCTGTTCATTTCAGATACCCATTTTTTGATTGGGTCTTTAAATTTTGTGAGTCTAATTTTTGTGTTCTTTATTTTGTTTACTACACTATCTGAGAAGTATCTGGCAATTTTTTTCCCCACTTCTCAGGTTGTCCTTTCACTCTGTTGCTGGTGTCCTTTTCTGTACAGATGCTTTTTAATTCAATGTCACCCTAATTGTTGGTTCTTGTAATATTTCTTGTGCAACTGGCGCTTCATTCATAGTCTACCTACACCTATGTCTTCAAGAGTTTTACCTCTTCTGCCTTTTAGAAGATTTAGTGTTTCTGTTTTAATCTTTAGATCTTTGATCCATTTTGGCTTTAGGTTAGTGCATGGCGAAACAGGTGGGTCCAGGTTCAGGCTTCAGCAGAGGAGAGCCAGTTTTCCCAGCACTATTTGTTAAAGAGGCTCTCTTTGGTCCAGTAAAGTGCTTGGCCCCCTTGTCTAAGATAAGGTAGCTGAATGTGCCTGCGGCTGTTTCTGCATCCTTGATTCCTTTCCATCGAGCCACACAAGTCTGTTCTCTGCCAGTACCAGCAGCACGTAATTTTCCTACAGCATGGGCCCCAAAGCCAAACCAGTTCTAACCAAAAGAGAGCTCCCTTGTCTCCAGCACCAGAAGAAGGACACATGAGCGGCATCACACTTCTGAGTGGCACGTGTTTAAGAGACCTTTGTAGACAGTTTGACTCCCAGCCCGTTCCCTCCAGGGGCACTGGCTGGAGCTCCCAGCAGCCATGTAGGCTTTGAAGTCAGTGAGAGCTCAGCGACAGAGCTGCCGAGTGCTACTGTGAAGGCTCGGAGAGTTCTGAGGGCCCAAGAGGTGGCAGCTTATCCTTGACTGATAACTCTTTCCTTTTCCACAGTCTGAATCACCAGGAGAAGAAGATAACGATGCAGCTACCATTGGCTCAGGCTGTGTGGGCCCTGCCGTGAGCTTGCTGGTCAGTCCATTTCACTCACCAGTTGAGAGAAAATTTCTTTGAACAATCCCTGGGATCTGCTGAGTTGAAAATGAATAGATTATGTTGGTAATTCATCAAGGTGTTAGTAGTTATTTTTTCAAAAAAAGTTAACCTTATATTAAAATTTGGGCAGATCATAACAGAATCAAGTTGTTCGTCAATATCAACTGACATTGTTTTTCTTCATGATTTTATTTATTTTTCTTATGATTTTAAAAAGTGACACTGAGTTTTGGGAAATGTCTTTGAGTTCTGTGGAATCCAAGACTTTAGCGGCATCAGCATAAATACAATGTAGTATATCTCTTTAAAGGAGAAATTTAATTTGAAAATGATGAAAATAGCTCAGGTAAAAATGGTAGTGTATTTGGAAAATAAATGATTTAGATTCATCTGAGCCACAGCTATTTCAGAGTTTCTGCAGCCCTTGAACAAAATTGCTGTCTTCTGAGGAGAAACATTTATCATATGATAAGTACTAAATGATCTTCTGAAGACTGAAGTTGCGTATACAGTTGAGTGTTTGAATTTCTTTTATAAAAAGAAACCTACATGATGCAAGGCTACCTAAAAGTAACTTTGTTATGATTGGATGGGTAAAGATTATACACTGAAAAGTTTGTTTTATAATTTAGCAAGTTGTATTATGTTTACCATATTGTAGTTGAATTTGCTGAAAAATGTTTACAACCGCAATTTTGCTGTCATCTTTTTTCTGTACAGCATTTGATTTATGCTTTAGTATATTGTTAAAAGCTTTATCAAAAATGCTTTATTCTTTTAAGTCCAAGCATTGTGTTTGTCCTCATTTTGCTTAGGTATACAGTTCAAGGTTCATGGTTTCTGGTGACTTGGGGTTCTATGGGTTTTGGCCAATGGTCCTTTGTAGTTGTACCATCTTACTTGTTATTGGCTGCTTATTGGATGATAACTGGAGAGGGCTGGGCTGGGCAGCAGGATGTGGACACAGATGCGCCTTTTGGGGCAATTTGCAGAGCAGCCTGGGCCACTAGGCCTCCTGAGAAGTGAGGCCTCGCATCTGTTGTGTCCCCCAGCCTGGTGATGTTGCAGGACTCCTCACCCATCCCCACCTCTGGAGCACCCTGCTTTGTCTCCTGTGGAGCAGTAGCCCCATTCCCATGCAGTGAGCTCCATGCCCACCTGTTCCTAAGTCTCCTGTGTCACTTCTGTTCCTCTGTGTCTGGCTTCTGTCCTCCGCCCTGCCCACCACCCTCTGCCCTCCACCCTCCACCCTCCTTAGCAGCTCTCTGTGTTTGCTCTGTCCCAGCTCTGCCCTGCACTTGTCACATAGCAGTGTAGCCCTTGATTCTGCACTTTCAATGTAAGCCAACCAGAGGGCCACAGAAGACATCCTTTCTGTGTCCCTCCTGTCCTGCTCCCTCTGTAGCCTCCTTCCTGGGACAAGCAAGTCCCCTTCAGGGCTCCTGGTGCTAACAGCGTGCTTTCACTGCAGGGTTTGTCCAAAGCCGTGGGTGGGTGACTATAGAGTGGAAGGAGGTTAGGAAGTCAGTCCTGTGACTCTTTTCTGGTGTCCCTCACAGGTCCCTCCCCTTTCTTACTGCTTCCTTCCTTGCAGCTGGCCTGTCCATACCACTGCTGCCTGTGTCCTCAGACCCCACAGCAGTGGTGTCCTCGCACCCTTCTAGCCTCCTGTCTTCTAGTCTCCTGGGCACCTGTGCCTCAGCCCACGTGTCTCCACAGCCTGCTCTTATCCTCTGCTTCCCCATCCTGTCCCAGCCCAACCCTTCTCCTTGCTGTTCCCCAGCCCCACCATGTGCTCCTGGCCCCTAAGCCCAGAACCTTAGGCCCCACCTCCCTACCAAGTCCCCTGCATGCCCTCCAGTGAAATCTCCTAGGTGACCTAGACTGGATTTTCAATCATACTACAGGGAAGATGCTGTACCAGTGCCTGTGTCCCTGGCTTCTCTGTGCTCTTCTTCCCCAGTGACCACACGTACCCCCTTGTAGTTGTTGGTCTACACCAACATCTACCCATCATTCTCCCTGACTACTGTGGTGGCTCTGTTAATGTGATAGTCACGGTGATGCATTTTCAGCCTCATCGTCTGCCCTTCCCTCTTTCTCTATAGTGAAAACTCCTGCTGCCCGCTGGAAGTTTCTACAGCGTGCCATGGCAGCGCTGTCAGTATATCTTGTTGTCATTATACCAGGAGCTTCTGCTCAGAGACACTCTGCCTACCTTCCCCCACGTGAGCTCCTGTGTTTCTGGGCAGGCTGCGGCTCTGTCTCTCACACTGGGTCTCCACACAACCCAGGCCACCCACAGCCGGCGCCTCTCCCGGACCCCTGGTGCTGTGCCTAGCTCCTGGTGCAGTGAGACCTGGTGTACCTGGTTTACAGTCTGTGGCTTGTTCACTGTGTGTTTCTTAGGCCTCAGTCACCTTGGTGTCTGCTGCTTTCCTCTTATTGCGAGACAAAAGTATCCAACACTGGGAGTTAAAGGTAGAATGATTTCTTTAGCTCTGTGGAGGATTCAGTCCATAATGAGCTGGCTCCAAGGCAGGGTGGCATGGCAGAGAACAAGTCATGGTGCCTACAAGGTAGCAAAGGCAGCAAACTGGGAAGGCAAGCTTCTTTCTGTCCCTTTTATCTTGTCCAGATTACCAGGGTTAGAGCAGTACTAAACCAATGAGAGGACTGAGTTAGTAACCACACACCCTTAATCCCAGCATCCACATTAGATTCAACCACCTCTGAAAAGACCTACGACTGTGTGAGGCTTTGGAGGGTGCATCAGATGCAAACGATCACATTCCACCCTGGAGGCGCATAGTTCATCTCTAAGAGTTGCCAAAGTCCTACAGGTTTTGGCATTGCTGAAAGGCCCAAGTCTCCTCTGAGTTTTAAGGCAAACTTAGCTGTGAGCCTTTGGACAAGTGAAAAGAAGTCACTGTCAGTGCCTCTGCCTCCCAGGCCAGCTGTGTGCAGCTGTGGCACTGTGCCTGGGCTCGTTTGGGCACCTGCATGGCCATGTCAGAGCTCCTTTGTCCTCAAGGGTTCTAGCTAAGGCTGCTGGTTCCCAGGGGCCCCTGTTATCTCCTGCTCAGCACCTGTATTCCTGTCTGCCTGTCATGTGGCCCTCAAGCCCCAACATCAGATGTCACGGAGGCCACCTACTCCCATGATGGTGAGGTCAAGCCTTCCCAGCAGGGACCTTTATCTGGATGGAGATGTGGATACTGCCTCGTGGCATGTCTCAGCTTAGACCCTCACAAGCTCACAGGGCCCGAAAGTGCCTTTCTTACCACAGCAGAAATAACTCAAAATGTGCTTCAGAATCAAACTTCTCTTATCATGATTCGATGGTCATCGTCATTCTTAAGCGAGGGAGGGTGGAGTCGTGCTGTGAGCTCCCTTAGCGGTCGCTGGTGGCCACAGTGCTTTTGTCCAGTTCACGAGACAGAGAATCTTGATGTGTTCAGCAGTCTTCATGGAGCATTTTTTTCAGTGCTTATTAGCACATGTAACACCCCTGGCTGTAGAGAGGTGGATCTTCTGCAAACAGAGGAGAGCGCAGGGCAAGGGCACATGGAAGAATTCGAGAAATAACTTGCCAGGGGGCTGCTGACTCCTACTAGAGCCCAGGCATTTAACCTCCGGGACTGCCTGGAATGCAGCTCCTTCCTGCTCTATGTGAGTTTTTCAACCATCAAAACCAAGCTTAGGTTAACGGTTTCATTGGCAATCTGTTTTTAAGTGTTTGTCTACGAGCTGTGATAAAAAAAGGACAGTGAATGTTAAAATTTTAAAAACATTTTAATTAAAAGTCATGTTACTATTAAATTCACTCAAAATACTCTCCTTGGTTTGAATACACGTCTCCCATAATTCTTGCTGTTTTTTGAAGTCATTTGAGGAGTCCTTTTTTATGAGTATCTTTGGTCATGCTGTCATGGTGTCCTGAATGGGTTCAAAATGTTTGCCTTTTATGGTCATTTTGACCATGAGGAAGAGCTAGAAGTTGCACAGTGCCAGATTTGGTGATAAGGTGGATAAGAACACACTTTTTTTTTTTTTTTTTTATGAGGCTGCCTTTCTTGTCCAATTCGCTGTATTTTTTTATATCTTGTAAATTATGAAAGAGGACTTCCAGAACTGCCTCCAGAAGAGGAAAACAGATGGGATACGTTTGCTCAGACTGAGGGGGAGTATTTTGAGGGAATTAATGCAATGTGTCTTTTATTACAATACAATTTTTAAATTTAAAATTTAAACATTCACTGTATATTTCGATCACTATATTTCTGGCCTCATATTTGCCAGACTCTGTAATGGAAGATATTTCATCTACATCATTCCATATCTTTGGCTTATTAATACACAGCACTGCATACTATAGATTTGATGTTTTCAACTAAATAGAACATTTCCACAGTAGATCAACACCCGCAGGTCTAAACTAATTTTAAAGGGACAAAAGCTTGCCCTACAAGGAGCTGTAATCTGTCAGAGAAATCTGTAGCATCTCTCAGTTTCCAGGGCTACAGCCAGTAAGATGGTAGGTCCATTTCATTTCAAGTATGTGACATTAGATCTAGCAAAACTGAAAAGAATTTTCCCCTTTGTTCTTGGATGCTCAGGAGTTACACTTTAAATGCCTTTAGGGCCAGCTGGGTTAACAAGGCCACAAGTAAAAGACGACAAGGTAGGACAGCAAATATAAACACCAGCCCTGCCTTAAGATATCCAGGTAGTTTCTGACTGCAGTGCAGAGACCTCAAGTTACATGCAGAGGGCTTTGAGGGCAGAGCTGAACCTTGGCCTCATCAATCTGCCCAGCGTGACTCAGTTACAACTTTCTAATGGTTCCTCCTCCTCAGCTGCAGAATGACTGCACTCACAAACTTTCAGTCAGAGTGACTGTGTAGGTCTTGTCCACTTAGTGTAATTCCCAGGTTTCGCCAGCACAGTTTAACCTGGGAATACAACCTGTAAATTGAGAGCTGTTACATCCCACCTCCAGGGCTCAAAAGTTTCCTGAAGATTAAGTAGTATTTAGGCAATTGTAGTTCACATTTTGAGAGCAATTGTTTTTCTTTGGTGTTATGATTTTTGTCTAGTTGTCCCCCAGAGCCTCAGTCAGTGGGGCAGGCTTCTAGAGTTTGTGCTCAATTTA